GAATTTTTATTTTTTTTATTTCAAGGGAAGAAATGGCTAGCTGAAGTTGCATCGTCTCAATGCGGTTGTTCACCGCGAACAACTCTAGCTCTGTTTTGGGCATGGTTTAGTTTTGCGATGTAAAATAAAATATATATTAAAATAATAATACTTGATTAATTATTTGGGGTTTCAGCCCACAAATTACGGACATGATCTCCATGAATTACGGTCAATGTTTGTCTTCTCTCGGCTGATTGTCACGGTGTTGATCAACGCCCTTCCTAAACTCAGTATGGAGAAACCAACGGGGATCGACATTCCAAACAAACAATCGAAATTATGAACGAAAGACGAGTTTTTTTTGATATTTACAAACATACTGTCATGACAAACATATGTAAAATTAACAAATACACAAAGAGGTGTAATATTAGGTTTTATTTTAGGCTTAGAAATATTTTCTTTCACTCAGCCCATGCATGTAACTGCCATTTAGCTTTACGGTCCTTCAGCATCGGGGGAAAACAACAATAATTATACAAAACACATTGCGAAGACTCAACAATCAGGAAAGAAACCCCAGACAACCCTGTCGTACTTGTGTTGAAATACATTTTGTATTTCACGTCAGAATATTGTTTAAAATAAAATATTCAGTCCAAGCCAAATCAAGGTCAAAGGGTCAGGTTGCGTGCATATAATTATATATAGTTAAAACAAAAAGTATTTGAACTTTTGTCAGCTGTTCAACATCTATAAAAACCAGAAAGACAATTATAAGACAATGTGAACCTCGGAAATTATTCTGTTAGTCCGAATTTTAAATGCGCGCGAGTGAGCGAGCAGGTGGGCGGTGATATTTCGGTGATAAGTCAATATTCTATTTTACTAATACATTTTTTTTTCTAACGCAATGGCGAAGAAAAGAAAGAAAGCGTTGACAGACGAGGCAAAGAAAAATCTGCCACTCAGTCTCGCACTCTGACACAGCAATTTTTTTTCAAACATCGGCCATTTTGTTTCACCATGAAAACCGTTTTATTAGATGTCTTATCTGAGACACTTGAAGGATTAGCTTGTTTGTAAACTGTCAGCGTGTACAGTGGGACAGTAATGTTTGTCAGAGGATTATCCCTCGTTGTTCGTTTGCATAACAATGGAAAACCCGAACGTTCCTGGAGTACGGACTCAAATGCCAGCAGTTTTCTTCATTTGTTGCGCTCGAGCTTGAAATTATTCATTATCTGACACTCTTTATGAGTTCTATGATATCAGTGGTTAATATGTTTGGCCATTTTTAGTGTATATTTATAATAATACAGCAAATCTACAGTGTTTTATTAACCAAAACTGTTTTTCGCGTTTTTCTCGAGTTGAAGTTTTGATCGAGAACGACTCATTGGGACCGCCGCCAAATCAAGTGCGTTCGGACTAGGACATTCAAACTCGCAGTTATCGTTCAAAAGATAATGATGGTGCGAAATATGTCTGGGTTTTTAAAGAAAATGCTTTGTCATAGAATAAT